TTATAGTAATAAAAAACCAACTTAAATTTTGGTTGTACTAATACTTTGCACTTTATATTATAAATACTTTCTTATTAGTTTAACTTTTTTATCCTTAGTTTAATAATGATCTCATCAATTTGAATTGTAATTTAGAAAAAAGCATATGCACTATGCTACCTCACTTTAAATATTCTTCATTGGAATATTTTAAACTTAGAATTTATGTTTGGAGTGAAGAATTTTTGGCATTTCTCGCTCATTTGGCCAGGCCTTTGATACCATACTTTTGAATCTATCTCTGCATTAATGGTAGCTCTTGTTCCTATATTGATGGTGGTGTAAAGAGTACCTTGCCTTTTTGCCTCGAGCAATCGCCAAAACACTTTTTGTCATTTTCTATGTATCAAAGTGAAAAATGGATGACATCCTTTTGTAGCTAATTGTTAGATGGAGATCATATTTTTCCGTAAGTCCAGGATATGCCAGAATTTGTTTAGCTTCGAAGTTTTGTCATTGTTATCTTGATTATCACATCTCTAATGCCCACAATATTCAAGGGCTAATCATTAGTAAGGAATACTTTTCTTTAGTTATATGTGCAAGAGTTCCTCATTAGATCTTTATTAGAAAAAGAATGAAAAATTGCACATCAGTCTCTTATCTATGTCTCCATTTGATAGGCGCCTAATATTGATGCATCCTGAATTTTTTCTACAGTGACATTTATTCTGTTCTTTTTGCTTTTGGCTATTGTTTATGCCTCTTTTTTTGGCACTCTTTTATTATGTGGCTAAGCTTGCCATAATACAAACGTCCATGTGGGCAATCTCAAGATTTGCTTTTATTGTAATTTAATTGAAGCTTCTTGCAACGAAATTTTGACCTGCTTCATTTATTGTTGCCAACACTCTTAGATAGACTCTTGCTTTCAATATTTAAAATAGAAGATGATGTGTTTTCACCTTTCTTGCATCATTTGATATCCTTACTAAGGATAAAATATTTGACAATATTGAGCTTCAGTGTGAATGATGTATATGAACTACTGCTAACTTTTTAAATGCCATACATCATTGAACTTGATATTCACAGAATTCAACTACCTTGTGCTTGAGTTGAACTCATTGATGTGATCGGTGATCAAAGGTCTTCGGACATCTGGAGATTAAAAAACTTGCTCATTATATGTACATTATTGACTGCGAAGGTTTAATATATATCATAGAGTGTCTTTATGACATGTTATTATCATCTCGTTGAGGATGTTGAAGGCGAAGTTTATCGATCAAATTTATTGATTTTGATCTTCCCGTGCTGTATGCTTGGATTTGAAAGTTTTTTAGCCCAAATCTCTGATATCAATTTCTAGGATAGTGATCAAAATATTGAGCAAAAAATTAAATGAAGATGATAGAATAAAAGCACCAAAGATCTCAAATAAAATATCAATGAGATTCACCTACATTCACGGCCGCACATATATCAAATGTAATCTAAGCTTCAAAAGAGGTACATTAAGAGATTTCACTTCATATGAATAAGCACAAAGATATTACTTTGTCTGTGTTTAACGACTTAGAAAGAACATAACCACCTGTTGTGAAGACAAGTGTTGTATGTAGAGAAGAAGGCAGTGATGATTCTTCTCCTTCTGTTCTCTTAAATACTGTGAAAAATTCTTCCTTTCTTCCCTTCTTCCTTTCTCTTTTCTCATTTTATTTATTTTCTTGTGATTATGGGATATTTTTTAAATGAGGATTATGTGTATTTTTATAGTGAAGAATTCAACTTCCAACATTAGTGATTAGCCATCATTGAAATCTTTTATAGTTTATATTATATACTTTTCTGATAATGCTTGGCTTGGATTTTATAGTAGGCTCTTAATAATGCTTCGTGATGACCTTTATTTAAAATTTTATGATAGCCTTCATTTAATACATTCATATTTTTGAAGGGAACAACTATTTCAATAATTAGAAAATTGACTCTACATTTGATAGGTATTTCCATTCTTTCATTAATCTTAAAAAAAAGACAACTGATATCCATCTAGCACTTATTTCCTACGTTTTCATGGTGAATCATGCAATATAGGAAGTAATTAGCCAACATTTAAAACTAATGTAGAACTCTAGCTGTCGTTACAAAGTTTACTTCTTATTTGCATAATATTATCGAGGCAGTTTTCATTTTAAACACAGTTTCAACTTTTGAAGATATATCCTCAACTATATCTCTGTACTTCCATATAATTAATCTAAGTCATTTAAACCTACTAATACACATATGCATCACTTTATTTTTTGATCATATTAATCTATAAATATTAACATAATGCACGCCTCACATTTAATTTTTATTCAACTATTTATAAGTCATCTATTTTATTAACATTTTCATCAGTGTTTTGATTTTTCACTTATTTTAGTAGATGCCTAATCGATAAGAACTATGTTATATGCAAAAAGTATTCACTAAGTTCTCATTTTGATTGTCCTTTATAAGAATCTTCAGACCTAAGATAAAAATTTATGAACTTAATGTTGATTCTTTTAATCTAATTCTTTTAGAAATAGCACTTCACAATGATTTATAACACTCGTCAGTTTTTTACCATATATTTTCTTATTAATTTCAACATACCTTTAATTCAAATCTTTTTTACTTAATGCACTCTAAATTGATACCTGGGTATATGATCAAATGTCTTATCAACTTCATTAAAATAATTTATATGATGATCTTTTTTAACTCTATAATTTTTCATTAGTCACCCATGGTATCATATTATATGACTTGTAAGTTTGATTCCTCTAAAACTTTTATAATGTTGATCATCTCATTTATTCTTGATGATTTATAATAAATATTTAGGGCCAATTATTTGACATCCTCTTAATCTTTTATATTCCATTGAATTTTTTTAATCAAACTATTTTATTATTCTTTGTAATTGTCCAAATATCACTACACACTCATATGGACCTAAAAATTTAGCTTCATAAATCCTCTGAGCTAATTAAACTTAATTTTTAAGATAAATCTATAATTTACTTTATTTTTATATTCATTATGCTCATCTAAAATAATTTTCTTCTTAAAATTCATATGTAATAATTTCTCAGAATAACACTTCCATCTTTCCTTGATGCCTTCATTTTTTTTTTTGAGATTCAACTATCATTGTTTTTAATGCATTTAATTTGATCAACATCTTTAGTTCTCTTTTCTTCTACTTTAACTATTCTATGTATCTCTCTTTTTTTTCTTCGTTAGTAAGCAAGCCTATAATAGAAAAGCTGCATCCTTTGCTTTGCTCAAAACACCCTTTGGCTTACATATCTTCTTATTATCATGTCTTGTTAATTTTTTTTTTTTCATAATCTTTCAAAGCACTTATTTTTTTATTAATAATCTTTGTTATTGTATATTTTCACTCGACCAAGTCTCTGTATCAATGTTCCATGCATTTTTAAACTCCTAAATTTTTATGACAGACTACTATGATTTATAATTTAGTTGGATAAAGAATTTACCCCAAATTTGGGGGGGGGGGAAAGGGGGGGGGGGGGGGGGGGGACAAGGCTTTTATAATTTATGTAACTATAAAAGAATTTGTGTAAAGGTTATATATTATACATAACTACGTAGATTTTTTTTTGGATCTAGCGGGGGTGAGAGCCAACCTTACCCCTCCATAGTTTCACCACTATTTTTAATGATGCTAGTCATCTGATCTGAGTTCAGATATGCCTATGTATTTATTTTGCTGATAGTTTAACAGTTTACATGAACCTAAATACTCTTTGAAATTTGAGATTAGACAATAAAATAATTTAAAGGGAATGGATTTGGGCTGTTTTTAGATTAGAGAATCTCCCGAAAAATAAGTATGAGGATGAAGATGTTTGGGGAAATTTTATCTGAGAAAACAAAATCTTAAATAAGGATTTTGCATTTTTGTTTTAAATAGGAGTAAATGATTAAAATGTTGCTCATCTATTGTTTAGATGTATCTATTTTAGTTCCAAACTTTTTCAACTGTTTAATTTAATTATTCAACTCATTAAATCTGAACCAGCTTGATATCATTGCTAGCTGTGTTGTTTCTTTGGATGAAAATTGGAGGTAATTTTTTTATAAGAGTATTTTGAATATTTTTTAGGATCAATCTCACTACTTAATAATAGATCAAATTAATGAGATTAAAATGGATAAACCTATAAAATATAGGAATCATTTTGATTATTTACTCTTAAAAAACGTTGACTTCATAGCATAAATTAATTAGAAAAGTTAATTGTAGAATATAAAATTCTGACAACTGAATTAAGGATTGACTGTTTGCATTTTTCAAATTTTATGTTTGTGTCAGGATATTTTAGTAGTGCTGTGGTTGAATCACCTGATATTTTCATGGGTTTAAAGTTGATATATCATTCTTCTTATTTCTGCTTCTTTCCCATGATTTTAGATTTGTTTACTATCTATTGAATTGCTGCAAAAGAAAACCACGTTATGTAGAAAGGCTTATCTGAATTTTTAATAGATTAAGTCTGTTGATGGCCATAAATCTTGTAGGTTTTTTCTGCTATACATGCTGTGCTTTCTGTCGTTTTTTTATCGTACTTGACATTTTATCTTCCATCCCTCTCACTGGTTAAGCAGTATATCTTTATAACATTGTTATAAGGATGGTATTTCCATGTTCTTTGGCCAGAGAATGACTAGATAATTATTTGATTGTATTTTACTAGATAAGGTAACTATACTGATATCTTCTTCTGACTTTTCCACCATATATGTTGACATTAAAGTGTAATGAGAGAAATGGCAGATTTTTTTTTTTTAATTTTTATTTCCCCCCACCCCTTGCCCATCTAATATGGACATGGGTTTGTTTTGAATTTTTTTAGGTTTCAAATATGCAAGTTTTAAACAAGAAACCCTGTCATGTATCTTTATTTGCTGGTCTAACATTTTCTTATTAATTTCTTCAACTCGCTCTTAAGCAGGCTGATAGTGAAGCAAAGCTCTTAAAAACGGGAAAATCCATAGATGAAAACGTTGAATCAAAAGTGGATGCTGAAGCAACTTCTGGTGGTAATAAGCTAGATCAACCTTCCGAACCACCAAAGCAGGACTACATTCATGTGAGAGCCAGAAGAGGTCAGGCGACTGACAGCCACAGCTTGGCTGAGAGAGTAAGGCCTCATTACCATATATTGATGTGTATAATCTTAATTTTCTCTATTTAAGTACTTAACTAGCATTCAAACGGACAATTTATGTTGATTTCTCTACTCATTCCTTTGGTTATCATATCCATTTTACTGGACTTCTACAATAACAGGCTAGGAGAGAGAAGATAAGTGAGCGAATGAAGATTCTTCAAGATCTAGTTCCTGGATGTAACAAGGTATATACAGTTAACTCACCCACACATGATAATCATCTTCTCAGTAGAAATCTTCACTTGATTAGGAAATGCACATAATGCTTTGTACTTATTGTATGAGAATTTTACTTTAAATTTTCTTTTAAGCAGGTGATTGGTAAAGCATCCGTGCTTGATGAGATCATAAACTACATCCAGGCATTGCAGCGTCAGGTTGAGGTACTACACATTTTTCTGCCTTTGCGTCCTCCTGGATTTTATTTTTGGTTTGGCTTTTGCTCCAACTGACTTTCTTACCCCCCCGCAGTTCCTTTCAATGAAACTAGAAGCTGTTGATTCTCGGATTAATACTGGCTTGTTGGAGGGCTTCTCCTCCAAAGATGTAAGTCTACTGATTTAGGCTTTCGTTTGGGACGGCTTTCTTTCTGTTTCTTATACAAAAATTAAATTTTTTGTACTATAAAATTGCTTTACGAATCAGAAAAAAAGCCATCCTAAACGAAGCCTTACTTGTAGGATTCAGCCATTTACAGTGGACTGAATATTTGCTGATCTTTTTTGAGTTTCAGTTCGGAGGTCAGGCATATGAGAACGTATCTGGCTTGGCGTACGCCTCACAGCCATCGAGAGAATACGTTCAACAAGGACCTGCAACGGAGTGGCTTCATATGCAGGTTGGTGGTGCTTTTGAGAGAGTTACTAATTAGCCGTTATCAGATTCAAATTCCAGTTCAATAAAACAGCATTTGCCAGAATTAATTTCATCCCTGGTTATGCGTTATTATCTGTCGTAATGTTCTTACATTTCAATCTAAAGAGATTATCCCAAACGCGTTTCTGATATCCAATTTAGGGATCTTTTCTTTTGATAAAGAAATATACAAACAAGTCTCCACGGTCTTTGTATTCTATTGTAATTTAGTGTACGTATCTAATAACTGTATTAATGCATTTTGCTGGCATGGTTCAATATAAAAGATGTTCATCTAAGTTTTGATTTTTTTTGGGGTAAATTGCTGCAGTTAAAACTTGATTCTGAACATTTTAGTCCCATATCGTGAAATAGAAAAAATCTTTCATGTTTTTGTATGTTAGCATAAGAACAAGTCGTTGCCGAACTTAGTGGCGTAAGTTTGTAACCCAAGTGGGGGCTATGAGGTTGTTGGGATGATTAATCAATGGGTTCATAATTTCCAAAAGGGTGAATCGCTCAAAACGAGCGTTTAGCATTCACTTTAGATTGTTGCCTCCAGTAGAGTTGTGGGCTCGGTTAATTTGAACAGCAATCTCTCCCTTTTTTTCTTTTAATTTTCCGTTTTACAGTTGACCAGTATGGTTAATCTGAACAGTAATCTATCAGATTCATTCTCCTCATAGGAGTGAAGATCGAAGATTGGGATGGAATGTATTAAATGTTGGTAGTTGATATGTGTCATATGATATAGTTGATTGGGAACATTGGGTGATAGTCGATGACTTGTTCTATCATTCACCTTGTACATAAAAAATTAATGGTTATGAATGCATCTCATATATCGGAGAATGTCCTAACTTTGCATGAAGATCAAGCATATACACATATACGAGAGAGAGGAGGTTTGGAAATTATAAGAGACATTAGATTTTTTTACATAGAAAATCGTGGAAAGAGAAAAATCATTGGGTTGGACCTAGTTTAAATGATTCACTAGAATTTGTATTTGGTTATAAGTGAAGCCCTTTTTGGAGGAAGACAATAATCAAGTATATATTATATGGTTAAAAGTGGATGAGTTGTTTAGCAGGAATTTATAATAAATGATGATGGTAAGGGGTGAAGCCAATAGGTGTTGGGGTAGCTAGGAGATAATAATCAAGAGGTTATAGGTCAGAGGATTATAGTTGTTGAGCAACAAAGGCTAGAAGGAATATAGTTTGGCGACTAAAGTAGGTGGATTGTGTAATTGGGGGACTAAGGTCAGAGGGATCGTAGTTGTGCGATAGAGGTCAGTGGAATTGTAGTCGTACAATTATGATCGGTGGGATCATATTTGGTTGGTGAAGGTCGGAGGGGGAATATGTAAGTGTGATGCTCTAGAATTTAATTTGGAAAAAATATTCATTTATTTTTTAATTAAAAAAAATAGAGCTATCTAATTTCATTTATATAAAAAAAAATCTAGAATTCAGAACATCTATAAAAAATCTACAATTATGTCATAACAACTCTGTCATAAGTACAAAAGTTTATTTGAATAAAATATTACCCATAGATTTCACCCTCATTTTGCGAGGACTTTATGATCTAAGTTCAGGTTTCTATTGGCGCAAGCCCCTATAGTTAATTACCCCTTCAGGTAATGAGAGAGAACTTTCGATCAAGGCTAGTTGTCAAATAGATATGTAAATGTACGTAGTATCCGATGTATAGTAGTAGCATGATTTGGTATTTGAAATTTAATATTTTAAAATTAAAATATATTAATATTTTCTATTTAGCTCATTTGCAATATATTTGAAACTTGCCAATTTGAGCTAATTCCATATGTATCGTCTGTGTGAAGAGTGTTTTCTATCCAGTATCGAGCACCCTTTAGCTCACCCATCTTTCCTGGACACCCATGTGTGCTCCGACCTGTGACTTTGCATGAGACACCAGTTCGAACTCGAGTTCGGTGCCCCCTTCTTGTGCACTCTTGTGCGTGACTGCTTTCCGCGTGGTCTATCCTGCGAGCTCCGCTTTGAGGTTCTTAATCCGGCTTGTGATCATTTGCATCGTCTGCAGTGCGGCTTCATGTTTGTCTATCACACACGAACGAACCCGCTTCGGACCTCCACCTTTTGTAGGCTCACAAACCTGGTCCCGACTCCGCCACCCTCATTGGCTCGCAAAACCAACTTTCATCTTCACTCCAAGCTTTACTCTCCAAGATCACTCCTTTTCTCGCGCGATCGAATGGCCTGTTTGCATTGGGTAACTTATGACCACATATAGCTCTCTCGCGCTCTAGATTGCAAACGACACCCGTAAACCCCCAAGCCCGTGTTCGTGATCCGCATCGCCTGTGACACCTCCTAGCCACTATTTGGTCATTCGTCAGCAGAGATCCAGCCCGCATTCAGACCTTTTCCATCCTGAACACCCACATGCAAGCGCAACTCCCTGTCTCGAGCGACCACCTCTTCTTATGTGCGAACAAATAGGCGGTCGAAGTCGTGCCTCCTTGCTTTGCTGAAGCCAGAGCCCAGAGCCTAGGCTCTAGCCATTGAGCATCCCGTGCCCATGCCCTTGCCGCTGCGTGTCCCGCATGAACGCCTTGAGCCTACGCCTCGCGTTTCCGCTGCAGCGTCTGCTCGTCCACTCGACACACCACCATGTGCGACACAGTGCACGACCCGAGATGCACTGTCCGTCTCTTGCGATCAAGACTGCAGCTTTAGCACGACCCAACTCTGCCTACACGTACAACTCCTGTCTATCATGCAACCGAAAAGCCCTCATGCGCATCGCCGCTATCTCTTTTGAGCACGGGCATACGCCAACGCTCCGCGAGCTTCGCTTGCTCCCGATCACACCAGGCTGCTCCAATCAAACACCATTCCTGCCCTTTTTTTTGGATAAGAACCTTCCTCCACCTCCGTCGGATCAACTCCACCAAGGCTATGATACCACTTGTTATGAATCTTTGAAGAATTCTTAAATGAAAGAGAGAGAGGGAAGGGAGTTTTATCATTCATCTTGGAACCTACAATGTTCTCTCATACATAAACCTATAATGCATATATATATAGGCTTTGACATTAATATTTAATGTGATGTCATGCAAGAACAAAAAAATTTAAAATGGATTAATTCATAACAAAATAATTTAGAATTATGTTAGCCAAAAGGAAATGAACACGTTGCTTTGTTAATCATAAGCAAAATTAAGGATATACATTAGCTTTAGGCCTTTTTTGAGATTTCGTACTCATCAATTTCTAAAACAGTTTTTTAGTACAAAATTTTTGAACAAAAAATTTTAATTAAAAAAATTATTTTAAAAATCAATAAAAACACAGTCCCAAACACAGCCTTAATCATTGATTAAATCTTATTTATAACAATTTTAGTCCCACATTGTAAAATAATTCCGAAGCTCACATATTTTTCTATGCTAGTATAAGACCAAGTCATTGCCGAGCTTTGTTGTGTAAGCTTATAACCCAAGCGGGGGCTCTGAGGTTGTTGGGAAAATTTGTTTGTGAGTCACCAATATCGAGAGAGGCCAAACGCTTAAGTTGAGCGTTTAGCTTAACTATTAAGGCTTTGTTTGTTTGAGCGTTTTTTTGGCTTCAGGAAACGGAGGAATTTTTTTTGTGTTGTTTGGTTCGTCAAATTACGTTCCCAATAACTCCTTTTTTTTTTCATTTTTCTGCAGTTTTGAGAATGCTTTTTAAATGTGCTTCTCCGATAGAAAATTCCATTTTCTGAACTAATGTTTTTTAAAACTGAGTTTTACAAAAGCACAAAAAAAAACAAACGAAGCCTAAATTAAGTTTAATGAAGTGCCTTCATTAGAGTTGGTAGCTCCTTCAATTTGAACAGCAATTTCATTTTGTTATTTTTATGCTTTCCGGAATTAAAAATTTACAATATGTAATTAGTTTTTTTATATGCATATTAAATGTAATTTCTGATTTTTTTTTTATTTCTAAAAATTTACGACATTATTTATATATAAGAAATATTGAAAATTAATGTAGAAATAATCCGCATAGTTAAAATTTTGAATGCAAAAAATAGGATATACGTTAGTTAATTTAAGTTTTAGGATTTATTTGGGACAATTGTCACCTTGATCTAGTTTTACAAATAAAGATCAAAGAACAAACTGTTAGCAAGAATTTGCGCCTGCTGCGATTTGACTAGCTTCATGCACTTACTCTATGATCAAATCCGCAAAATTGAGCCAAATCCAACTCATGCCCGACCTGAGGAAAGAACAAGGCGAGCAGGGAGACAGAGGAAACCAAGAAAGCCAAGAGAATAGAAATTGTATTCATATGTCTAAGATAAAGAGTACAGTGGTATTTAAAGACAATATTAGGTAGAAAAGTAAATAACTCAATAATACATGTGCTAGTATTCTAATACGACCGTCACCTAGCATTCTGGTCCACGATTCCAGCTCGCGCTTCTGTGCGTTCTAAATAATGCGTGCTTGCAAACGTCATTGTTTCTCTTGTGATATGCACGCTCGTGCCTTGTGCATTGCCTGCTCCTATGCGCTTCAGTCCTACACATTTTTTCTTTCGTGGCACGCCCATGCTCCAGCATCAAGCACCCTTCGGCTCACTCGTCTTCCCCGAACACCCGTGTGCATTCAGATTTGCGACTTTTTACGAGCCACCAGTCCGATCCCAAGCACAATGCCTTCTTCTTGCGCACTCCTACATGTGATTGCCTCTCATATGATTTATCCTGTGAGCTCCGCTCTGAGATTCATGATCATGCTTTTGCTATGTTTAGTCCCTAAACGTAGCCTTAATCGTTGATTAAATCTTAATTGTAATAACTTTAGTACCACATCGTTAAATAATTGAGAAATTTACATATTTTTATATGCTAGCATAAGACCCAGTCATTGCCGAGCTATGTTGTGTAAGCTTATAACCCAAACGGGGGCTTTGAAGTTGATGGGAAAATGGATTTGTGAGTTACTAATTTCGAGAGAGGGCGAACGCTTAAAATGGGCGTTCAGCAAATTATATATTTAATAAACACCTCAACAACAGTTTAATGAATTGCCCTTCATTAGAGTTGGTAGCTCCTTCAATTTGAACAACAATTTCTTTTTGTTATTTTTATGCTTTTCGGAATTACAAATTTATATTAATCAATTAGGTTATTTATATACATATTAAATGTAATATCTGATTTTTTATTTCTAAAAATTTTCAATATTATTTATGTATATGTAAATATTGAAAATCAGATGTAGAATTAGGGGTGCAAACGAATAGAGCTC